AAAAAAAAAAAAAAAAAAGAATTCTAGCTGGGCGCAGTAGCTTAAGCCTGTAATCCCAGCACTTTGGGAGGCTGAGGTTAGAGGACTGCCTGAGCCCACAGGTTCGAGACCAGTCTGGGCAACATGGCAAGACAATAAATAAAAAATTAGCTGAGTGTGGTGGCACATGCCTGTAGCTCCAGATACTTGGAAGGCTGAGGCGGAAGGATCGCCTGAGCCCAGCAGGTCGAGGCTGTGGTGGGTGTGAGTATGCCACTGCACTCCAGCCTGGGTAACAGAGTGAGACTTCAACTCAAAAAAAAGAATTAAATCTCTTAGAACACTGATTCTACTGATATTTAAGGAATGCTAACTTCTCTCATTTCTAATTAGAATACACGACCTATCTTACCTGCTGGAAGATTCAACACCCCGAAAATGACTTCTAATGCTTTCTCTTAATTCTAATTAGCACTCCTTAGAATACTGCAAATTACCATAGAAGGAAGGCAGGAAACTAATCTTTAATGAAAACTAACCATGCGCTAAGTTAACCATGATGGTTTCAGCTTCAGATGCAGTCAGTGTGCAAGTGCTTTCAACATGCTTCCAACTTCACCAAATCCCCAAAATAGCCCTGTAAGACTTTGTCTTTAAATAAACTTTAAAATTTAGAATAGACTTAGATTTACAAAAAAGTTGCAAAGACAGCACAAAGTTCCCTGAAGGCATTCTCACCCAGTTTCCCCAATTGTTAACATCTCACATTACCACGGTATACTTGTTACTAAGTGTAACAAGGAATCAATACTAGTATATTACTGTTAACTAAACTCCATACTTTGTTTGGGTTTATCTACATTTCCCCTAATGTCTTTTTTTCCCCCACTAAAAAAGAATCTCATCTAGCTGTAAGGTTTTATTAACCAATTTTGATTCCATATCTCAGATATGGAAACTGAGGCTCAGAGAAAGACCATAACTAGACCACATTCATCCTGCTAATTAGTGGAGCTCAGTATCTGAACTCATGTCTGGTGACTCCAGCCAAAACCTCCCTTGTGCCAGCTCCCTCTCTTAGTGCCTCGAGTCCAAAGGCTCTTCTGAGAGGCTTGATTCAGCTGGGGAAACTTGTAGGCCTTTGATTCCTAGTTGACCACCTCTGCTTGACCTGGCCAAATATAGGGCCTCCATTATGCCCAGATCATAAATCTAGTCTCAGAATAAAGGCAGACTCTCTGATGTCATGAATCCTAGCAACTAGCTGGGCGACTCGCTGTCTGAAAGCAAAGTTCTAAGCCTTTGAGTACCTCATGTATTGCTAGGAATAACTTCCCTTCTTCTCTGTCTTGTGCTCTGATTTGTTGCCTCTAAAGCTTCTACTTTGGAGAGGGCTAAAAGAGTCTAAGAATTAGCATCCTGGGACCTGGGAGACAGGACCAGAAGTCTCCAAAAAGTGGTCTAGGCAAAGTGCTATGATGTCAGAGCAGTAGGAAGAGCTTCCCAAGGTGACAGGTACTTCCATGCCCATCTCAGAACTGGAAACTTTCCCAGGAAGAACTTTCCCACAGTCAAATCAACAAAGACCCAATGGCTCACTGAAGAATTCCCAGGGTACACCTCCAGGTGCTGTATCTTTCACCACCAAGGGCTAGTTGTGTAACATCTGGGTTTTCTCTCTTACAGTCTTTAATTCAACCTGGACGATTTTTCTAGAGGTTACCAATTCATGCTCTAGCATGTTCTAGCGTTTTCCTATATATTATCTCCTCTCCTCTGCCTGACTACATTGACAGACCTGAGAACGGTTGGCTCTCCTACCTTGCAACCCGGAGAAATCCGAGAGACTCAAACTAGTGGAGGTGTCAGAGTTCTTCATTTCCATCTCCGCACGGAGGGAGGCAATCTCCATCTCATAATCTCCACGGATGCGGTCCATGTCTTCAAGTTCCCTCTGCATCCGGCAGAGATCCTCCTGCAGGGAAGCTATGTCACTCTCATGTTCAGTCGCAGAATCCTCTGCTGCCTGTCGCAGATTCTGGATCTCAGTCTGGGCCAAATGCAATTCTCGTTCTATTTCCTTAAGTTCGCATTCTTTCTCACGTTCTAGTAGGGAAATCTCCTCCCGTAGAGACCGCAGCTCACCTGCAAAGCCCAAAGGCCAAGATGGTCAAGACGGAAGTGAACTCATCCCCCATGCTCTAGGTGCACAAAATTAAAGATAACTTATGGCTGGGCTCGGTGGCTCAGTTTGTAATCCCACACTTTGGGAGGCCAAGGTGAGTGAATTGCCTGAACCCACGGGTTTGAGACCTGCCTGGGCAACTTGGCGAGATCTCATCTCTACAGTAAATCAAAAAAATTAGCTGGGCATGGTGGCGTATGCCTGTAGTTCCAGCTACTGGAAGGCTGAGGCGGAAGGATCGCCAGAGCCCAGCAGGTCAGGCTGTAGTGGTCGGGAGCGTGTCACTGCACTCCAGTGTGGGCCACAGAGTGAGACTCCAACTCAAAAAAAAAAAAAAAAAAAAATCGTAACTTATTTTTTGTCTGGCCACTCCTGACAACCTAGTCTCTACCCAATCAGAGACATACAGACCCATATGGTATGGGATAAAAGAAATCCCTAAGAAGGGAAAAGAGTACGATTCCATCTAGGAAGGGACAGCAGAAAAGTAGCTTTTGAGGCCTAGCACCAAAAGCAACAACTTAATCCACTATAAACAAAAGTATTAAGTGTTTCTAAGGAATTGCCTGACAGTTAAAGACCTAACCTAATTTATAGTATTTTATTGATGCCCTAAGTCTTTCTAAAAATTATCTGATTAAAAAAAAAGTACACATAGGTCAGGTGCAATGTCTCATGCCTATAATCCCAGCTTTGGGAGGTTGAGGCAGAATTCTTGAGCCCAAAAGTTTGAGACCAACCTGGGCGACATATTGAGACCTTATCTCTACCAAAAAAAAAAAAAAAAAAATTATTCAGGCGTAGTGGCACACACCTATATAGTCCCAGCTACTCCAGAGGCTGCGGTGGAAGAATTATCAGAGCCCAGGAGGTTGGGGCTGCCTGTGATTGTACCACTGCATTCCAGCCTGGGCAACCGAGTGAGACTCCAACTCAAAAAGAAAAAAAAAAAAAGAGAGAGAGAGAGAAAGAAAAAGATCAAGGGAAAAAAAAAAATCACATAGATCATTTTTACCTATTTGCCCTGAGAGCTTAGAAATTACAAAGCCTCTGCATTCCCATGACCTGCCTGTGGTAAATATTGGACCCAAAACAATGTGCATTTAGAGTTCACAGCTGAAACTCAAATGTAAGTGCATCACATGGTAACCAAACATGGGATAATAACCTTTAATAACCTAAATGTTGATCAATAAGAGACTGTTGAAACTGATTACCATTAAATAAAATATCATGCAGCCTCTTAAAAGAAAGTAGCAGATCTATAGTGAAGACACAAAAAGGTTTCCATATTAACTGGAAAGAAAAAGGAGCTGTAAGTGCCAGGCACGGTGGCTCACATCTGTAATCCCAGCACTTTGGGTGGTAGAGGCGAGAGGATTGCCTGAGCTCAGGGGCTCGACACCAGTCTGAACAACATGGTGAGACATCATCGCTACAATAAATCATAAAATTAGCCGGTGGTGGTGCACACTTGTAGTGCCAGCTACTTGGAAAGCTGAGGTGGAAAGATCACCTAAGCCCAGCAGATTGAAGCTGCAGTGGCCATGAGTGTGCCACTGCACTCCAGCCTGGGCAACAGAGTAAGACTTCAACTCAAAAAAGAAAAAAGAAAAGAAAAACAAGCTGTAAAACATATGGTTGTATCTCATTTTTGCAAAAAGTATTTATGTATAGAATATAACGTGCAAATAAACAAAGACATAGAAAAAGGCCTGGATAGGTCTATGCACCAAACCATCAAGAGTAATTGCTTCTGAGTGGGCTAGCAGGTGATGAGGTGTTTTACTATTCACATCATATCTGTCTGTGGTGTTTAGATTTTCACAAGTCTATATTTATAGATGTATTTTTTTAATTCTCACAATATATGAGAGCTCTATAGAGCATCTCAGGGTTTCTGGACATGGGTATTCATCTGGGATCAAAACCTAAAAGTGTATAGAAGCACTGACACTAATTGTGAATTTAGGATTTGGGGTTCAGAATTAGGGGATTAATGTGGGTCAAGACCTTCCCACAAACCCCCTGCAAGGTACATTGTCCCATTGCCTGCCCCCACCCCCTGTACCTTCCACTCACCATTCAAACTTCAACTAGTAAATGTTCTCACAGCACCTTGTACTTTGCAGTGTGTATGCGTGTGTGTACTTGGCCTCCCCTCCCCTTGGTTATTAGTTTTAAGAAGGCAGAAGCATGTCTGTCTGTCCCCAGGATCTGGCATTGTGCCTACATAATGCACCTCAATAGATACTTGTTGTATCCAGGCATAAATAAAGCAGGTGTTTAGCCACTCAACAAACTTTTCTTTTTTCTTTTTTTTTTGATTTGGAGTCTCATTCCGTCGCCCAGGCAGTAGTGCAGTGGGATGCTCATGACCACCACCTGCTGGGCTAAGGCGATCCTTCCACCTCAGCCTTCCAAGTAGCTGGAACTACAGGCGCATGCTACCACACCCAGCTTATTTTTTGATTTATTGTAGAGACAAGGCCTCTCCAAGTTGCCCAAGCTGGTCTCAAACCCCTGAGCTCAGGCAATCCTCTCACCTCAACCTCCCAAAGTGCTGGGATTACAGGCTTGAGTCACCATGCCTGGCCTCATTCAACAAACTTTTACTGAGTATCTCATCTGTGTACGGAATTACATGTTTGGGTATTTTTTAAAATTATTATTAGAAGAGAACCTAAGCCGGACTCAGTGGCTCAGCCTGTAATCCCAGCACTTTGGGAGGCTGAGGTGAGTGGATTGCCTGAGCCCGTGGATTAGAGACCCGCCTGGGCAACTTGGCGAGACCTTATCTCTACAGTAAGTCAAAAATTAGCCGGGCGAGGTAGCGCGCGCCTGTAGTTTCAGCTACTTGGAAGGCTGAGGTGGAAGGATCGCCGGAGCCCAGCAGGTCAAGGTTGCAGTGGCTGCTCGCCGCCACTGCACTCCAGTTTGGGTGAGAGTGAGACTCCAATGCAAAAAAAAAGAACCTAGACACTTGAAGAAGGAAAATGTGGGCATGCATCAGATGTGAATGCGGGGAGGTCAGGGCATCTCAGGGGAGACCTCCTGTTCTACTCTCCCGAGTCTCTTGCCAAACCTTCCTGCTCGAGAATGATCCCACCTGTCACCTCTCCTGGTCTGTTCAACAAGTATTAAATGATGACCTCTGTGCTAAGCCCACGCATCTCCACTTAAGAGTCTCTGACTTCCTATTTGAAAGGAAGAAAGTCGCTGGTTGATCCCCACTACTGACAGCACAGGGGGGTCCCAGTCTTGGAGAGCATTGTGAAGGTGACACAGGAGGAAACCGGTCATTGGGATGAAGGCCCTGAAGGCTGGGATTTCTGGGGAGACAGACTAACCTCCACTTCCCTAATATGCCCTTGACAGGAGGGTTCCAATCTCCCTGAGGGCTAGAGCCCCTGCAGTCTGGCCCTAAAATATGGCATTCTCAGATCTGCTGCGGAAAGGAAGGTGCAGGGTGGCCTTGG